CAAGAATGGAAGACCATATTGACTGAAGCTACACCTTGGAAACCAGGAGAGTGGGGGCTGCTGATACAAGAAACGATTCCTTCCAGAGCCTTCCAGTTCTCTCACATGCAACAAAACTCGCCCACTAAGGCCACCTTCTCCTCCTTTCCGGTTTCCTGGTCCGCTACTGGCATGCCGACCATTGTCAACACTGGAGTAGAGCCCGAAGTCTTAGATTTCTTCCTACTTCGAAAGGTGAGAGTCCTTGGTTCCTGGCCAAAGTCCATATTCAGACCTGACACAGCGATTTGCAACTTGGARTTTGACCCAGCAGAGTGGTCATGGCCACCTGACAAAACCAAGAATATCAAGTCCAAAATCCCAATACATGAGTATACAGTCAAACTGGGATACAAATTGTTACTCAAAACCAAAGACCCTGACCCTATCATCAGAGAAAGATGGCGGACTCTGCTAGGACAGGAAGCAGATAAACTCACTCAGATTCAATGGAMGMAWTTCAAGTCCATCAGACCAATCAAAATCAGAAGTCTTCAATGGCTAATCACGTATGCGGCACTACCTGTGAATCAATGGCTACACATCAGACGAAAAGGTTCAGACCCCAACAGTTCCGATCAATGTACGGTCTGTACGGAAGCAGCGGTAGAAGACATAATACACTGCCTAATACRAYGTAAGGAGGCAACGGACTATTGGGCGAGAGCCTCAGCACTATGGGACTCCTTATTCCTGACCCCCTTCCCTGAGSAACCCATCCAACTCCTCCTCCTGACTAACATTCCCGAACAGTTCAAGAAGCCTGAAAGGATTTGGTTCGGAATCATAAGGAAAGTGACATTGTGGGTCATTTGGAAGGAAAGATGCAGCAGGACGATTGAAGGAATAGCCAACGCACGTGAAAAAGTTTGGACCGAGACCAAAACGATGATTCAAGCGGAGATCCTATGCAGATGGCGGAAGATCAAACAATCATGGACAGAAGATGAGGACCAACAAAGAAAGGCGAGGCTGAGCTTCAGCAGAACCTGGCTGTTAAATGGTAAAGTGGCGGACCTAAGAGAAGATTGCATCTGCTGGAAAGAATGGCACAACTCAAGTTCAGGGAGGGGTCACCAGCAACATACATCGGTGGAAGGACAAAACTTACTCTGACCAGAGATCACAAGAGAGATCGATGGCTGCAGCATCGGAGCGACGGTCCAGAGAGGAATGCAAGGTGTAAGGAGGAAGGACACCAGCAAACTGTAAAGAGAGGCCCAAAGTTCAGCTAAGCTTGGACAGGGGACGAGTGACAACAAACACCTCTTTATGAAGCCTGCAAACGTCTCAATTCTCTCCAGCACAGCACGCCGAACCGACAGCATAATAGCTGAGAGGAGCAGGAATGAGGCCAACCAGAATAGTAAGATCCAATTGATAAAAGCAGGCTAACTTATGCAGGGGTGAGGGGGGGGTATATCCTTCCACAGGGAAGCAATCAATGCCACCCGCTCGGGCCTCTCAGCCATAATGGGGAGGGGCGTGTGTGAGTATCCAAATGTATTACATATTGACTTGCCGGGGGAATAGGAACCGGACTGTCGCTCCCCAGAATGGTAGGAGCCTGAACCAGATGGTTCTGGAAAAAAAAAAAAAAAAAAAAGATTGTCCAGCCATTATCACTGTATCCAAACCGAAAGTTGCCCCCAATACAGCTATTACAACAGGGCGTTCTGTTCAAACGAAGATGGTAAAGGCTGTGCATCATGCAAAATGAAGAACACACTCAATGCGAGGCATTACTTGTCACAGCATATATAAAGAGCTGCCCGGCAAACCGTAGGCAGAGAGGAAGAAGAGGACAACAAACAAGGGGCTGTGACAAACTGTTTCGTCGGAGTTTCACCATATATATATATATATATATATATATATATATATATATATATATATGAACCGACAGTCTGTAGAGTTTTCCATCTGGTGTGGGTGCGTGAGAGTCTGCTTTGACTTTTGCCATAGGTACCTTGAGGGCAGTGGCTGGTGCCCACCTCAGGGTATCAGTTGTCGGGCAGTCGTTGATGCTTAACCACAGCTGGGGTTCAGGTGGATTATCACTTACAGTGTAATCAGTTAGGGGATTCTGCAGACTGTTGAGGGTTCAGCCTCCTGATGAGTCGGTGAAACTCCGACGAAACAGTTTGCCACAGCCCCTTGTTTGTTGTCCTCTTCTCCCTCTCTGCCTACGGTTTACCGGGCAGCTCTGTTTGACTATATATATATATTGTCACATGAATATCAGAGCGCAAAGGCAAAAAAAAAACAAAACAGAAGAAAACAAGAAAAAAAATAAAATAAAAAATAATTCGTTTTTTTATAGTCGACGGTAATAGTGTTTGCAGTTGCGCAAAGGAGAAGGTCATAGAGTGTTGGTATTGTCCTGCTGCAGCACAGGGCCAGAGGAATGATCTTCGACAAGAAAGAGATTGCGGATGGTTTGGTGTGGCAAGAAAACAATATCATCAGGCAGCGGGATGGAGGATTAAACCACTCACCTTCTTGAGCATTGCCTGGTTCAAGTAGGCAGTCCCTCATTCCTTATGTGCGTATACATATATATGCATGCTCAAGGGTCATAACCTCAAGGACAGACCAATGGACGATGACAGAAATAACTATCTGGCATGAAGGTGGTATGGGAGCGGAACACTGACCTGCACCGTATGTCCAGTTGCCGTAGTTTGAGGCTGGATCATAATCGAGAAGGCATGTCTCAAACCACTCAGCCCCCATTCTCCAGTCCATTCCCATATCTCTGACGAAGAAGGAACACACAATCTGACAAAAAATGGAAACGGGATCAGCATGTCTTGTGTTGCGGCAATCAACTCAGTGCTGCATGGGAAGGCAACAACCCTTGAACGGCAGAAACATGGGGACAATATCTACAAGCATACGAGAATCAAACCCTCACTTATTCCTTATGAGAGACTCTGCTCTCGTTGTTGTCACGATGCTGCCGCTCTCACTTGTTTTTTTCCAAGAAAGAGAGTGACAGCCACTTAATTCATTTGCTCCCATGGGGATGTAAACTCAGGTCTGTTTATCGACAGTTCATGAGTGTACCATTCAGCCACATGGACGGTGTGGAGATAGTTTCCTTATCTTTAAACGCTGTGCACGAAACCAACCTGTCAGAACACAAATAATGACCAATACAACTCATTGAGCAGCATGCACGGATAGAAAAAACTGGAAGCACACTAATGCAAGAACGCATACAACAAGAGAGTGGTAGTCCCCAACTCAGGTGTGACAGCGTATGCTACTGCTTAGCCTACCTTCTTCCCCCAAATACAACGTACGGTCATTGTAGCTGTATTTGAGGCATCTTTCAGTCTAGATACAGCTATAATGACCGTACGTTGTATTCGGGGGAAGAAGGTAGCCTATCATCTAACCAGCAGCCGAGCTCTGTTCCACTTCTGCCAGGGGCCGCTGAAGAGTCTCTTCTTGTTACCCACCAGGTAAGTGTACACCAACCTCCCAAGGGCTTCCTCACCACCAAGGTCCTCCACTACGCCTCACAACGCTTCTTTCTCTGCACAGCGACAAGCTATGACACTCTCCTCCTACATAGTGCCTCTGCCCGCCCTGTCTTCCATTCTGTTGTGCAGCCCACTCGTAAGCTAATGTCGGCACTGTTACAGCCAGCCAGTAGTGACCCGCCCGAGTGCCTCCGCCCCTAGGAGGTCAGATGTTACATCTTTGACGCCACACCGGTCCTACCGGACCCGACTTAGGGCCAAGGGGACACAGTAGGGCCTAAAGGCCCAGACTTGGGGGTACAGCAGGCCGAAAGGCCGCATTTTGGACCAGACCCGACGGGCAGGCCCAAACGACATTACCGTTTGGGCCTGGCGGCGCTCTTGAGGCTGCCGCCCACCAGTCTGATCTGAATCGTCGATCTGGACGATTCAGATCACGGCCAGGCCTCGCAGCATTGAGGCCAGCCTCTGTTCACCGGTACTAAAGACCGGTCCAGCCTCATTGTGAGGCATCGAACACTGGGACGCTGCTAGAGCGCCAGTCGTATCGGTTCAGCAGCAGGAGCGTTAGCGCAGCGTGGAGGAGCAGCAACGGCGAGCGAGGAGCCAGGCAGCGACCATCAGCAGCACGGCGGCCATAGCCGCCTTCGACCTGCAGTCGGTGCAGCATCGCCAGGTACTAGGAGGCGAGGGAATTTCTCCTCCCTCCACGGTCCCGGCTCTCTCCTCCTCACCTCCTCCTCCTCTGCCATCTCTTCTTCTCCTCTTCTTCTTCGGACTTCTTCTTCTTCTTCCATATACTTCTTCTTCTTCTTCTTCTTCAGACTTCTTCTTCTTCCTCAGACTGGAGACTTGATACTAGTTGAGGCTGTGGTACTTACCGGATTCGAGACTTGGAGATTGTTGGGGTTGATACTCGGCGGCATCACAGATTGGACACCGGTTACATTAGGACTCTGTATCTCCGACATTGGTGACTTATTGTCCATGACATTTTGATCTTGTTCGATGACATTTTGGACTGCCATATCGGTGACCTACTAGATTCTATCTCGGTGACAGCTGGCGCTGCCTACATCTCCCACCTCCTTCGTCTCTCCTCCCACCTTTCATCTGTGTATGGTTGTACGGGGCCTGAGCATCGTCTATGATTGGCTCAGACCCCACCATCTCACGATTGTTGTGTGTTGAGTGATATCTGTGTGGGTCAGTCTATGTGAGTCAGTCCATTTATCAGACTTCCGCTGCATACATGCTCATCCTATATTGGTTGATCTCTTGGTTCTGCCCATACTTGTTGAAGTATTCACGAGTATGCAACATCAGATCTTCATGTTAGTGCATCAGCTACCACATCGAATTTACCGTTCTGGTGATTTTAACGGGAAAGCCATATACATATGTAAGATTTGCATCCACCGCTTGAAAGCGTCAGAAAGGTGTGGGTGTGTCTTAGTCCTGATCAACTGGGGTGTATCATGGATAGACTTTGCCTCAAAATGTCTGCCATGGAGGTAATGCTTACTTCAACTGCATACACCTCCCTTTCATTGGTAGGAGATGCATCTTAACCAGAATGCTTCAATACTTAGATCGAACAATTTCACAGGAACAGTCAGAAGCTCTCGATAAGCCCATATCACTGGAAGAACTGCAATTCTCAGTCCAAAGCCTGAATAGCAACAAGACACCAGGCATTGACGGGTTGACGAAAGAATTCTGGATAAAATTTTGGCCACTCCTAGGGAAGGACTTGCTGAACTCTAGGGAAGGACTTGCTGAACTTCTACCACGACAGTTGGCAAAAAGGAAGACTGGGGAATCTGTTGAGCAGCAGTGTGGTTACCCTGCTCTACAAGAAGGGCGAAAGAGAAGATATAAAAAACTACAGACCTATCTCTTTATTGACCCTCCCCTATAAAATACTGGCCAAAGCCCTGGCCTTTAGGATTCTCGATCTGACTGACAAGTGTTTGCACATAGACCAAACGGGCTTCATTCCGGGAAGATACATCCTAGATAATGTTCTCACCCTCAATGAAGCAGCCAATAAAGTCAGAGAAAAGAGGATCAACACGACAATACTCTTCTTCGACTTTGAGAAAGCCTACGACCAGGTCAATTGGACCTTTCTTAATGCAAGTACGGAAAAGATGGGAGTAGGGCCGAACTTCAGAAGATGGGTACGAATCCTGTACAACGATGCTATTGGCTGTGTGCAAGTTAACGGCCTGCTCATACTGCTACCCAATTTCACGATCAGTTCGCCAGGGGGATCCACTAGCACCTCCAGTTTTCCTGTTCGTCATGAAAGCAATAGCGTCCTTCCTGCGCAAGGACCCGTCCATACACAAAGTCACAGACTATCGGAGATTAACGCAGGATCAACCCACCATATGCATTTCCCAACAGTCATCATGTTCGTTGACGAGCTCACTGTCCTCATACGGGCCTCAGGATCATCCCTCGGTGCCCTAGTAAGAGCTATGGAAGCATTCAGACTAGCATCAGAAATGAAGATCGACTGGAAGAAAACGATCGGATGGTGGTTATCTGAAGAAGAGGCCCCTCTTCTCCAAGGCCCAGAGGCAGCCATGACATGTGATACATCTGGCAATAGCTGAGATGATTCCTACAGGGATGGCAAGCTGACAGTTGATCCTCCATATGCTTGGAGCAATCAATGCTGTTCAGGGTCCTTCGGCCAGACGGAAGGAAGTGTTGGTGAGTGAACTCTTGTACTTTATGACTTGCCGGGGGAAAGGAACCGGACTGATGCTCCCCAGAATGGAGCCAGGACCATAAGGCCCTGTTTTTGTTATAAAATAAAAAAAATAATTAAAAAAAAAAACCATGGGATTTGTGGGATGTGGCTGGCGTCCTGACCCATTAGGTTGGACCATCTGTTCTTGATTATGGGGTCTGGGTCCTTGGTTCTGAGGAATAGCCTATAGCCCAGTTTGACTGAGTAGTCCTGTATGTGGGTATCCATCTTGACAATTTTGTTCCTTCCTGGTGTCCTGGCCCATTCTGCCGGGTCGAATTCCAGGTCCTGGATTGCTGTGTCTATCCTGAAAATTGTTTTGGGCCATGAACCGATGACTCTTACTTTCCTGAAAAGGAACAGATCGAGAACCACTCCTCCTACATCCTTGTTCAGAATGGACACGGAGTTGTGCACTGTCCGAGCGACTGGAAAGGCTGCGAAGACAGCCAAGGTTTGTGAGCCCTGCTGCTTGTGGGAGAATTGGTAGGCCTTCAAAGGGGACTGTTCTTGTATCTTTCTTTCCATCCCTCCGGGATGCATCTGATGATTGTTTGCAGATTCTCTTCACGCCGGTGGCATCCCTTGAGATGGGTGGCGAGTTCCTGATCAGTGAGCCACCCCTTTTTGTCTTCGTCCCATATGTGAGAGACTTTCCAGAGCCCGTGTGTTATCCATGATAACCAAGTTAAACCAACGTATGCCATTGGGTTTAAGCAAAAGCGGGTGATCACTTTCGTCTCTCACCCACGGATTGCCAAATAGAGGTTGCCTCGGTACTTCTTCTCTGGTTTTTGGTTTCCCGACCTTCTTTGGCATGATTCCTACCAAATCCTTAGAAGTGCAGTCCAGTAGGGTGTGGGGGGGTTGGTTCCGGTGGGGGTTCCCCTTCTTTGCTGGTTTCTGTGGCCTGTTTTTGGGATCCATTCTTTGTTCATTACCCAAAATAGGCCCGACATGTTTGCTGGTGTCGTTACCGGAGCCAGCCCTCTTATACTGTCTAGCGCGAGATTGTTCCATGCGGTTCCCGATTTGGTGAGGAGTTTGACAATCCACTTTATTTGTAGAGCTTTTGTTTCTTGTTTGGGATCTATAATACCAAGACCGCCTTCAGCGAGAAGAGGTTAACAGAGTCCTAAATTTTCAGGGTTTTTTCAGGGTCATTATAACAAACGTCCCATACCTTTTATGCCAGACTTGTCACCAGTCCATAGAGTGGACACCAAATAAACCAACATCAAAATTAAAAAAAAAAAAAAATGATCGAAGGGGCCTTAAGCCCCAAGGCAAATGTGTGTTTTCATGCAAAATTCACTCTTTTCAGTTTTCAGGATTTATCAGCACACCTAGCAGCCACTTGTTTTTTTTTTTTTTTTTTTTTTAAGTTTTCAGGATTTTCAGGATTTTCAGGATTTTTCAGGGCTGGTCAAAACAGTGCACACACAGACCTTGACCAAAAATAAAACGGGGCACAAACAGAGCCCAACAAACACCAACCTTGGCACACACAGACCTTGACCAAAAAT